GAAATAATTTAATTCTAATTCTAGGCATTCCTAAAGTTTTTCCTTTTGAAAGAAATCGCCATTATGTAGTATACAAAATCTTGACTTTAGCCAATGGGAAAAAATGTGAGCAACTTTCCTTAAGAAATAAAATAATCTTTATTGTTTTAGAAGCAATGTTGAGCAAACAGACAGGCAAATATCTAAAGAGAGATACCATACATCAACCAGTGGTTTAGACATTTAAGGGAAAAATACGGAAAGTATTTACATGGACCAGTTTCCTTATACAAATGCTAAAACATGAAAAACATGCAAAGCCATATAGAGTATTACCATCAAGGTATAAACCCATTACAACAAATAAAACTACTTCAGAAGGTACAAAGAACAAGTGGAAATAACAGTGTAAACAGCAGTATACAAACTGGCCCATGTAAAATACAAAAATATTCACTGAAGTCAGATCTTCTATAAAACAGTGCTTATTAGTGCTTTTAATATGAATCTGATACATAATCTAAATGTAGAAACTTTTAGAAACATTAACAGCATTAAGCCAATGCCACCCACTTGTGCTTCCAATTTTTTTTAAAGCTGCTTTGTTTTGACTCATGAGAAATATCTAAGGCCTCCATTCTCATATAAGTTCTCTCTTATATTCTTATAAGGTTAACAATTTTACGCTAAAACACAATTTAAATAAAAAATAATTTTTAAAAGTCATATTTATATTTAGTCTTTAAGAAATGTTTTAAGCTAGCAATGCAGCTTAATGTAGTTCTAAGAGAGGGGTTAGTCAAGAATCTGATTCTGAGCCAGTAAAATTTTCAGGCTAAACAGAAAGCAAATTTAAGTGAGAGAAAATATTTACCACTATATATTTTACCAGAATATAATTCAAAAGACAGTCATGGACATACACATGCTAGCATGCAATTGCCTGTGTCTGTGTATGTATATTATAGATGAATTTAATATCAATATTTTGGAACCCAGATATTTTCTCATGTTCTAGTGAACGGGAGGCACATAATCCCCCCCAATAAAAACAAAACAAGAAAACACAGAAACTTTACATATATGGCTGCATATTAACAACTTTCAAATATTTGCTCAGCCATTCCAATACAAGAAAAGATCTCCTAGAAGCAGCAAGAGATACATGATGTGTTACCTGTCAAGCTGAAATGTTTTGCTTTCTCATATAAACATTAGGTGGTGCAGGGCAAGTGGACAATTGGTACATCTCTCAGAGCACAAATATGACTACAAAGTATGTGAATTAATTATGATTCTACCATAATCAACAATAACAATGTAAGTTTTGATTAGCACAGAACCATTTAAATGTAAAAGCCAAATTAGTAAATGCTGTAGCAATCAATGCAAGCTGGAAACAAAGAACAACTTTCTAATGGACTAAGAGAAGACCAAGACTTTTTAGGTTAGATGCAAGTTATTTTATGTTTAAGTGCACTCCTTTATCTAGGTTCTAGGACATACTGTCATTTCCTCTTTAAGAAAAAGAAAAGAACAAAACACATTACCACCAACAAGGAATACTGGAAGGCTAGAGAGAAAATCCGCATTAATTTCATTACCGCATGTGGAGGCCAACTTACGGGTACAAAGGACTAATACCCTCATTTGGCACTGTCTAGCAATTATCTCTAAAGCACCTAAAAAATGGATTGAAATGCCCAGTTGGAATAGTCTTGTGTCTTGCAATTTAAAAGACTGAAATATCCAATTTTTTAAAAAAGGATTAAACAATAAGGTTAACACCTATTCTAAAATTTAGAAAGCTTTTGTATTTTTTGCTATTACAGCCACATTAAATACAAATGTATTCAAAAAGCATTAGAAAAGCATTCATTGCTAAGAACATAATACTAGGCCCTGTTCAAATCTACTAGCATATCTCTTATAGGTCAAATATGCAGCAATGCCAAAGTAGCTAAGTTAATCTGCAAAGAAAATCACCCCCCCAAAATTTAAAAATGCAAAAGGAGCAAGTACAAATCCACTATAGAATGTGTTTTCCCAACTCAACTACATTCAGGGGAAAGAAATTTCTTTTGAAAAATTGTTTTCCCTAAACTGTACAAGGGGTCTTCAAAAAGTTCATGGAAAGATTTCTATTATCTCTTAATTCCATTTTTCTATGAACTTTTTGAAGTACTCTCATATATTACCAGGCAGAATATCTAAAGCAAATATACTAAAATACTAATTCAAGACAGTAAAATAGAACCTATAATCCAAGTGAGTTTGCACATGTCTTTTGCAGTAGAAATGACAGTTTTAAATTCCTTGGTTGGGGAAACCAAATCATATGACTAACTTGTAGTTTATAGTTTTGGGGAAGTTTTAAGTTCGAAATCCCCCATACCACCCATTTAAGAGCAGGACTGTAACTAAATATACCTTAAATTGAAAAATGTTGCATGTTGGAATTTGTACTTGCTTTATTATTTTGTAACAGAGATCACATATGGATTAGTGTTACAGAGTCTGATATCCAGCATAACTCTTTCTTCTGCCAATTAGGTAAGCAATCACTATAACGATAATCAAGCCTGAAAGACCAGCACCAACTATAATTGGTACTAGAATGGTGTCATCATCCAGCGAACACTCCTGGGCTGTAGGTGAGAAAAAGTGTGTAACAAATAATGAGTACAATCAAAAAAGAATGTCTGAAAGTAAAAGATGTTGATTCAAAAGTCAGAAATGCTCTTATAAGATCAACTTCAAGTAACTAAGACAGGTATATTTTTATAAAACTACGGAAAATTATTTTCTGTTCTAGAACTAAAATCCTAAAACTTATTTGTCCTTTCACTTATGTTTGTGTGTGTACATATAGGTATTCACATATGAATATCTATATAATTATTTCTATCTATGAATAAGCACACACTGTTTGTATTATACAGTATATATACACCCATATGTGTATTTGTGTGTTTGTTTATATTCCAAGTCCTTCCCAAAATAGGAGTATTACTGTACCAGAATTGAAGAGAGCTAATTTAGCCCATTTCTACATTGCCAGATTAGCTTCTCAGTGATAGAGTGAATGTCTTTGGGGAAACTGGGAACAGATCAGGAAAGTACCATGGGATTTGAACAGCCAGGCTGGCTCTGGAGCTCCTCTAGAATAGGGGTCAGCGAACTACAACCCATGAGCCAAATCTGGCCCAAGAGTTAAAAATGGCTTTTACATTTTTAAATGGTTGGGGAGAAAAAGAAAAACAATATTTTGTAAGAGTTATGTGGAATCCAAATTTCAGTATCCATAAATAAAGTTTTATTGGAACACAGTCACACTCATCTGTTGATGTATTGCCTATGGTTGTGCTCATGCTACAACAGCAGAGCTAAATAGCAGTGACAGAAACAATATGGCCCCAAAGCCTAAAACATTTACTCTCTAGTAGACCTTTACAGAAAAAGTTTGCAGATCCCTGACTTAGAATATACAATTTTAGTGGCTGTAAAAGTCAAGAAGCTAGAACCTCTTACTAATTTGAGTGTATTTACTACATTTCTTATCAATGTAGTGAGGGCTGGCAGGCCATGGGGGGTATTTTTTCTATTTCTAGAGAACAGTCTGATCCAGTAAAATCCAATCAACACTCTTCTAACACAGTTCTATTTCCTCCCTCTATATAGTCAAGTGTTCCCTGTATGTTGTAACTACAGGTGCCCACAGCTAAGAAACTAGTTCTACAAATAGATTATACATTCAATATCAGTATTAAATGCTGTATACCCCTTTGGATGACATTTTTAATTCCATGTACATAAAAACCAAAGTTTCAAATTAGAGAAAGAGCACAGTTCATCTCTATTACAGCTGACTAGATAAATAGGCTTGAACTGATATTCACATTACAAATGATTTTAAATTCTTAACACAAATCTGGACCTAAATTTAGGGTAATAATGTACTGGAGCTAGATAAAGACTCCAAAATAAAGCTACTAAAAGACCAAAATAATTGAAGTACATAAGCAAAACCAACAAAAGGGAAAATGAATTCTTGAAAATATTTTTAAAATGTGATTAACCTCTCTACTTCCAAGAACAGTAGGGTGAAGAGCCCGATTTATTCTCACCTAACCGAGTCAGACTAGGTATTCAGCACCACTGCAAAAGCAGCTGAATGGCTCACAGCATATTCACTTTTAAACACAGCTTCCACATTTCCTTCTAAACTGTAGAATTAATTGTTAAAAAGGATGTGGATGACTGGAATAGCTCTGCTCAGCAGAGCTGAGATCCATAAACCCCCAATTTTAAGTAATTGGCTTAAGAGTTCAAGTCGATTAAGGAATTTTATGTACTTTTTTTCCTTCATGTAAATTTTAATCTTATAATGCCAAATACATCCTTTCATATGAATACATTATAACAAGCCCTTCACACAAGGGTTTCATTAAAACTCTGAGATACCATCAGCCCTGAGATCTTCAAAAAGCTTCATTCACACTAGCAAATGCTATGAAAACTATCCAGATCATTTTGGCTTGTAAAAACAGTTCACAATATTTGAGGCTTTGCTACCACTTTTTAGCTTTTGTCCTAACGAAATCAGACCAAACTGCCTTCATTCAGGTATGACAATGTTTCCAGTGAGAAGATGGCCCCAAGGAGGCAGACACAAGATGCTCAAAGCTGCTGCTCCCTAGTGCCATCCTAGCCATAAACTAAAAGCTACAGGAAGCACCTACACCTTAAATAAAGCTCAGTTAAAGCTTCTATCAGTTTTTAGCTTTAAGAACTTTGCTGCAACTGGTTTCCAGGCCACAAAAACATCTTGTTGGAGCAAAATAATGAGCCAAATATAGAGTTACACAACTCGCTCAAGGCTATGAGGACTCTACAACAGAGTCAAGAGGTGAACTCATATTTCTCTATATCAACATTAAGATTTCCGTGACTCTAAGGAAAAGCCACCTATCAATCAACATAAGAACATAAATTATTAATAAAGTTTGCTTGATTCTTACCTGTGGAATACTTTCCTTCCATCACATTGAAAGGCTGAACCCTTAGATCAAAGGTATTTATCTGAAATGTTCCAGACACTGAAACAGTCTGCTCTTTATTGCACATATAAGAACTTCCCAGGGGGGCATCCCAGTAGCTAAGATTATTATTTGCAATGCTGAAAACTTTAAAGAAAAGAAACAGGTTAGCAACTTCTTATCCTATCAGCATCAAAAAAAGGGACAGTCCTCAGGGATTTTCAGTGAAGTATGGGCGCTTGGGGGACAGTCTACCCACAAAAAGCAATTCTTACCATCACTAGGTTCCCTTATTTTTCTGCAGATGTTTCTAAACATCTATAAATAGCCTAAACATCACTCATATCCTTAACTATTATCCACCGTACTTTGAAAAGATGGAATACTGCAAAAGACAGAACACCATAGTTCTAAGTTACTGATTTTAAGTTGTGGTCAAGGTACACTTTTTACAAAGCATCTTCTGTTCCATTAAATAAAGCACTATTTAGTAACAAGACAATTATGGTTTCTATTCCTTCAGTGTGTCCCACACTCTTTTCCCCCAGGCCAATGCTTTGCTTACCAGAGCCATTAACCAAATACATGCTGACATTCACTTCCTTCAGATAGAATCGGTTTTCATTTTTCTGTTCAAAAAAGAGTTTCCAGTTAATGAACATATCACAACCATCTGCAGGTACAGTTAATATCTACAGAAGAAAAGCAATCTAATAATATTACACAGAAGAAGAAACCATGGATTAGACCTGAGCCAGTACAATAAATGGCAACTAAGCAAAAGAGAACTCAAAATGTGAGAGAAACTCTTTTCGTCTATATTTAATTTCCAACTTTTGGACCACAGGGGTAGTCATGTGGTTCTTGGATACTCGATGATTCATCTCCTCAATTTTATTCCTCCTGTCACTTGATGAGCCCTCACCACCTCTAGCCTGGATCATGATAGCTTCTTTACTGAGCTCCCTGCCTTTCAGCCCCTCCAACTCTAATCTTTCATTTTTACTGCTATTATCTTTTTGAAGCACTCATCTGATCAGCCAGTCATTCTAATTATTTGAGTGCTTGATAATACAAGGTAACATGTCGAAGTGCTCCAGGGAGCTAGCAAAATGAACTAGACTTGGATCCTGCCCTCACTGTGTTTGCAATTGGCCAGGAAAGATAAAATAAATCACCATATTACAAAAAAGAAAATGAAAAGTTATGAAAATTAATAGGAGAGAAATTGCTTTCAACTGGAGAGGAACAAAAGTAATGCCAGCTTAGGGATGGGGCATTTGAATTGGGTAGGATTCTGTTAGAAACCAGTGGAAAAAGGGTACTCAAGATGGCAACAGCATGAGTAAAGGTAGTCAGAATACAAGCAGAACCATGACTACACTAGCATTTGAGAACTTAGTAAGTGCCAAGCACAGTTCTTAAAACTTCCCATATGAGGCTTCAAAGAATAATTACAATATCCCTATGCAACAGGTGCTGTCGTAATCCCCATTTTGAGATGGAGTAATCGAAGCACAGAGATGTTAACTAACTTCCCCCAAGGCTATATGGTTAGTAGTCTGTGAGCTGGGATTTAAGCCCAGGAAGTCTAGCTGCAGAGGTGATGGTTACTACTATGTTCTCCTGCCTCACGATTGTGCACAGGGGACAGGGTGTGGGAAGTGTAAGGTTCATGAAAAGGGAGTGAAGGAAACAAAGGCTGGAAATGCAGGCTACACTGCATGGGGGAAAAGGGATTTGAACTACCTACCATGGACTTTAGATGTTACCTTGAGGGCAAAACAGAACCACTGAAGGTGTTTGAGGAAGAGCTGTGCTTTAGGAAGATTAAGCTAATGTGGAAGAACATTGGGGGCAATGAGAAAGAGGAGAGACTACACAGCAGGCTGTTTGAACAGGCCAGGCAAGAGGCAATACCGCTGGAACCAGAGAAAAGGCAGTGGGGAATGAAATCGAAGGGACAGACTCAAGAGCCATTTCAGAAGGAAGCATAAAGGAGGACTTCATGAGCTCATCATGCCACTCCTCTGCTTAAGCTATGTCTTGGCTTGGCATTCAAGGCTCTCTGCAATTTGTCCCAACTACCTTTCCATACTTTCACTAAACATACCACATGCCTCATTCTCCCAGCTGGTATTGATTATGTTCCTTTATCCAGAGATAACTTGCACTTTTCCGCTTACTCCCCCTATTTCCACACGCACAAATCTGACCCATCCTTGAAGGCCCAGATCAAATGCCATCTCTTCCATTAAACATTCCTGACTCTCCTCCAGCCAGAATCAACCTCTCCCTCCTCTATTCTCCCACAGCACTTTGTATTAACCTCTAGTCTGGTACTCAGCCCACTGTGTACATACCTTCCACAGTACTCTATTGTCCCACAGAATCAAGTTCAAAAGCCTTAGCATGGCATTTAGGCCTTCCACAAAAATGGTAATTATTTGTGTATTTCTATCTTTACCACTAAACTGTGGGCACCTTAAGAATACAGGCTTTCAAACGGAAAGGACACTCTTGGGGGGAGGGGAGAGAGGCAGGAGGGAGGGAGGTGTCGGTGATGGGCCATAATAATCATATACATTGTATATTGACAAAATAAAAATTTAACGAAAAAAAAAAAAAAAAAGAATACAGGCTTTCTTCTTTGTATCCCACCATAGCAGCCTGCACATAACTCACTTGAATTCTATACATTCTCCTAAGGAGCATCTAACACGACAGAATTGAAGGTGATATGGGCCCCACTGAACTCTGGTGACATTGCAGGTGTTTTTTGATTTTTCAAAGTGACTGTAGCATGGTTAAAGTGTCACTATTTTACATTACATTTTAAAATAGTTTGCCCGGCAAATTAAATATTATAATTATTAAATATTAAACATTTCCCATGAGAATCAGAAGAAACCATGTTCCTTTTAGGAGCTTACCACAGCTAGAAAGATCAAACTCAATCACTCAAAAGGGAATGAACCTAAAATATTACCTTCCTCATTCTTATTGATCATAACCCCTATAAGATAACTTTAAAAGAGAATGTGTCTGGGGAGGCCTGCTCTTACCATATTGAAGTGGACAAGTTTAATTAGACATTTTTAATAGTAATTTTCTGGTTATATGTGTATTATATCAGAGGAATTATTTGAATGCTGCAAAAAGGAAGATTTTTGTAAACCTTTCTAAAACAATTGCCTAACATAATTCTCAATTACTCAGCATATATTCTGGAGAGAAAAAAGGATTTAGACTCAACCGAGTTCAGATATGAAATAACAACAAATCTACTTTTAATATATTGGTTTTTATCCAATTATTCAATAGCTCTTACTCTGAGAATTGTTGGTGGGTCAACATTTTCCCTCACCTATAGCTATCCCCTTTTCCCCACTCTCATTTGCCACAGCACACACACACACACACATATACCCTCTCACAAAAAATTATGGGGATAATAATTGCTTCTGAGAAGGCAGAAATAAAGGTCCCCAATGATTAATTTATACGAGCAAAAAGTAGAACAGGGATGCTTAACCTGAAACCTTCTGTTTAGGGATCAGCTCTTGATACAAGCGTGAATAACAACAAAAACCCAAATGCCACCATATAAATTATTCTGATTTAATGGATTAATACATGTACTTACACAGAGCCTTGTACACAGTAAGTACCCAATAAATGTTAGCTATCACTATTACTGACACTATTACAAATACCATAGCCTCCAAAAGGCTTAAAATATTATAACAGACAAATATGAGAGTTGTCTAACCAATAATAGAGAAAAATATTATCATGGAAATTACTTACATATGGATAGATTAGACAGATTTTTGATGTGTGTTAATTCTTGTTCCTACCCTAGAGACTATATAATGGCAGAATGGCCACTCTTGGTGAACATTAATACAAGAGTCTGGTCCATAGATCACCGAGAAGACTCTGAGGGATGAACAGGGATCAATGGACTACAATTTATAATTAAGTATTGTTGAAATGGAAAATAAAGCTAAATATCCCACACATACACACACACACAACTATTTAGACTTTCAAACATGTTTCTAAGAGAATGAACCTAATTTTGGAAAAATTTGTTACTCACCACAGCAAAGACAAAGTCAAGATACTTAATGATGCTGCTATTCAGCCTCAGCAGAGCAGTTTGAGGGTGGCAGCTGCCAGTGAAGTCAGTTGAATTGGGGTTGATGTTAATAACCGAAGCAACCTTTAGGGGAAGAAGGGGGGCAGGGGTACCGATTAACTATAAAAGTTGACAGCAGCGCCTTACACTCTAATAAGACCAACTTCAGTGTAGAACAAAAAAATGCTTTGTGTGGATACTTAAATTCATGGTGTCTTACTTTCAAACAAAGTTGGCATGGGCCCTCAAGCTATGACTCAGACGACGTAAAAAAAAAAAACCAACAAGAGGGAAGCTTCCTCAGTAATGAGCCAAATGGAAACACACATTTTTATGGAGCTCAAGAGCCATCTGTCTAGTTTGTTTAAGTCACAGGATCCTGGAAAGGGGATTTGTTCATTGGCACTCCCTCTGTAGCCTCAGTGGAACACTGCAACTAGACGTGCCATCATGTACTTGAGCATCCCTATACAATCGCAGTCATCAAACAGCTGGAGAAACACAGCTGCACTGTTCCCGTACACCGACCTACAGCGTGTTTCAGATGAAAGTGTGAAGGAGTTGTATTTTAAACTGACTGAAAGAAAGATTAACTGTTTGAACTCTGATCTACTGATGGTAAAAAGAATCTAACCCCAAAGAGTCCTTTAAACTGCTAGGTTTTCTGCTGGCCAAGACAACACCTTGAAAGCAACATTAATTCTTCACCATTATATTAACTCTAAACTAATCAAAACTCAACAAATCAACATCAAATATCCATTTAAAACTGAATCATTCTAGTAACAGTACTCTTGCACTGAAGGTAGTATTTGAAAGGAAATACAAAAAGGATGTATAGATAAAGACAAACAAGTATACCTTATCCTGAGTGACGTTCAGCTGCAGCCCCATGCTAGCCAGCAGACAAGTACCATTGCCATTACTAATTGAATAGGTTCCAACCTTTGGTTTTTCCTTCGGAGTGGGTGTTGTAGTAGGAGATGGCACAACGGTGTGAATGATGGGTGCCACTGTTGTTGAAGTTTTGTCTTTATCACACAGAAACTCTAAAACAAACAAAAAAGGACAAAATAAAGTTGACTTTTTCTTAACCATAAGGCCACAGAATAGCAAAATATTTCTTCCAATAGAAGTCGAAGAGGGTTACATTAGGGGAAGGGAATACCTTATTAATATATGAGGGTACTTCAAAAAGTTCATGGAAAAATAGAATTAAGATAATACCAATCTTTTCATGAACTGTTTGAAGAGCCCTCGTATTTTAAATTAAACGAGGCAGTGGTTCTCAAACTGCTGCTTTATATACAATCTCTATGGGTTACAACACAGCAGACAAACTCGGGACACATCCAAATGTTTTATCTACTCACACGTGGCTGCACACTAATCTTTTTCAGACCCTTAAACCCCTTTATTCCCAAAGAACTACACCTGCCTCTGACGTGAAATTCAGAGATTTAAGTTTGAAAATATTTCACCCCTACCTAGCCTGCCTTCTTCATTTCCACATAAAAGTTATAAGGAAGAATACAGTTTACTAAAAAAAGTTTAGTGATCATTAAAGGATTTAAATACAAATGAACCTTTCATATGCATTACCCCTATAGCAAATCATAGGCACTTCAGTGAATGAACTGATGAATATTACATTTCCATAAAGCCATATAAAAGTTACAAAATCAACTTAAAAAATTCAAGATTAGAACACAGAAATCTAATTTCTAAGCTGTGGTCTTGGAACTGATAACGAGCTGACGATCAAGCTATTTGAAGATCTGTTCAAACAAAGATTAGGTTTTGTCAGTTGAAAACATTATAGGTAAAGCCTTTTAAAACACCATTCCACAACATGTACATCATAAACTTTAAACTGCAAGTTTCAAAAAATAAGAATTGCTGTTATTTGTGGAAGCCACAAATAAGCCTTAATATATATATGCTTGCAGATAATGACTTCAATGAAAGCTACTTAGTATATCCTAATCTTAAATTAGGACCCAAGTACTATATAGAAATATATACTTTACGTACTTACCTTTTGTGCTCACTGTGCCATTTTGGACAAAAGCTTGCACAAGAACATCCCAATATTTTTGGACAACATCATTGTCTTCTAAAGTTGATATACTATTGCATCTAAAGATTTCATTCAATGGAATTCTGATTGCCACGGGGTTATTAACAGTAAGAATTCCTATAAAACAAGATCAACAATGGCTGTTTCCAAGAAGATAGGGGGAAAATGTAATATATTCATATAGGGTGTCTTCTCCTTCTCTTTGTCTGCCTCTACCTCATGCCCAAAGTGACGAAGGGTATGGCACATTCAAGGGAATGACAAATTCACAGTGGCTGAAACATAGGGAGTAAGGGGGAAGAAAAAATAGGGGTTAAGAAAGAAAGGCAAGTTGCAGATTAGCCACACTTTGAAGCATATTCTACAATCTAAGAACAATTTGGGCTTTCTTTGCTAGCAATGGAGGGCCAGCTTCAGTTTTTAAAGCAGGAAATAATACACATATAATTTACTTTAAGGAAGACACCAAATGTGTAGGGGATGGTCAGGTGAGAAAATGTTTAAGGGAAGCCATTTAAGAAGGAAATCAGTAAGAAAGCTGATGGCCTGGTTAAGGTGAAGGGGAGTGGGGAACGATGCCTAAACTAAGATGGTGAGCAGCAGTAGGAAGAGAACGAAGAGGCCAAACTGAAAACACCTATCTATCTAAGGGAGACTCAACAGAACTTAGTGATTATAAATAAAGAAGAAAGAGAGATGAATTAATCACGGACTTTATAATGAATACTTATTTTTGTGCTACTATCCCAAAATAAGTTATATTAACTCTAATGAGCTTGTGGAACCTCTTCATGGATGGAATTTAAGGACTATTCCATTTCAGGCATGAAAGCAGTAAGTTACAGCCTTTCTGTACAGAGTTTTTATCAGAATGCCTACAGTGAAACTTCAAGACTGTGATCACACTTATCCGCCCAAAGGCTTAGTATCTCTTGGAGAAGCAGCAAGAAAGGAAGGGTATTCAAGGTCCCTAATACAGGCTGCCTTCTGGGCCTCTCCATCATGTAGCAAGGCAGCCTTGGCACCCCCTAATGGCCAAAGGAATTTTTTTAAAGCAATCAACTAGAACATTTTCCCCCAAACTGTTTCTCACCATTAACAAAAATGACCAGATATATAAATTGGCTGTGTATAGCAAGGTCTCAAAAACAGATGAGTGAAAAAATATGTTGTAGACATATTGATTGGAGCTATACTATGAAACTATATAAGTTTTTTAAACTATGTATTGTTTATGAGCATGTACTTATGTAATAAAATATAAACACACAAACGGGAAGGCTATACCCCAAATTCGTGAGAGTGGTTGCCTCTCAGCAGCCAGGGAGGAAAATGAATTTAGGGTGTAAAGACAAAGGAAACCTCAAGTGTATCTGCTGTAAGGTTTCATTTCTTTAAACAAACAAACAAAAAAATTAAGCAAATATAAAAAATGGCATTTATTAATTCTGGGTAATGGGTACATGTGAGTCTGTTATATATTTTAATCATGAAAAAGTTTTTAAAAAAGAAAACAGCTTCAAAGTTACTTCAATTATCAGATGCCTAAAAATAAATTAGTATTTTGAAATACTGAATTATTTCAAAAACAATTATCAACAGTCCATTTCATGAAGCCATTTTAAATTCCAAATAATTTCAAATGTCTAATTATACAGAAGCTAGTAAAAAAAAAAAAAAGCAATCCTCCCCTTGTTTAAAATAAAAGTGGGGAGAAAGAAGGGTTAACATTTTAGAGTCCATTGTTTTTCTATCCAATTATGGCAGATTAAACCCCTCCTCCTTTTACTGCTGCCCCCTTGGTCCAGACATTTATTACATCATCCCTTGATTACTGCAACAGCCTCTTAAGCTGCCATCTCTGGCTGCAGTCTCCACACTTCCAAATTTATCCTGCAGAATATTCTTTATAAACTACTGTCTGTACTTTTGTTATATCATTCTCCTGCTTAAAAAACCTAAAATGATCCCCCAGTGCCTGCCCCATCAAGCTAAATGCCTTTCCTTGGCTTCCAAGGCTCCTATAATTTAGACCCACTGCACTTAGCCAACTTTATTTTCCTTCTGCTAAACACAGCCTCTATTTGAATCAGGCAGCTCTCCAATTACTGCTGCACATACTGTGCTTCCCCCTACTGGAAAAATCCTCTCAATATCCTTCACTTACTCAAATTCTACCATCAGTCAAGTTCCAGCTCACTCCTCTAATGCACACTTACCTCTCCTTTTTCTCTGCTCCTAATCAGGACCAATTGTGGGAACACTTTTAAATCCAGCACTCTTAATTAACCACGGGGATCCTCAGATGGGCTCAGGGACTATGAACCATATGCAAAATTTACTGTGTACTTTTTCTTTTTTGAGAGGTTGGGTCTAGAGCTTTCCTCACATTGTCAGAAAAGATTTATGAACCCTCTACTCCCTCACACAAAAACACAAACAACAACAAAAAAATCAAAGTGAGGTCAACATTTTCCTATTTTTCCATATAACTTGGGAACACAATTTAGCTCCCCAGAGGGGCAAATCTTATACCAGTTCTGAAAGACAATGCAGGGCACAGAGATAAATACATAAGATCACAATAACCACTTGCTTTAATTATCCTATCAAACTACAAGATTAATAGAAAGACAACTAGGACTTGATTTCCAAGTCTCAGTCTGAGTTACCACCCTAGTTATACATAAGCTTATTCACTTCTGGGTCTTTAAAATGTGATCTTTTGATATCCACAAGTCCAAATGAGTTAATAATCCCCAGATCTAGGCAACCAAAGCCCAAGTACCTGTGTTTCTGGGGTCAGAATGAAATACCATATGTGAGAAGAGTTAAGCTACTACAAACACCATGTCAACCCAATCTAAATGGAGTGGAAAGAAAGGAGAAAATTATGTCCATAACGAAATTAAAATCTCTACTATCTATGCTTTCAAAATATTTTATTACACATTTCAGTTCTGAGTATCATAAGAATGGCCTAATCGCCAATGCCTTCACAAGTTCATTTTCACCTGCAATTGTCTCAAAATAGCAGCAAATGTTGACTTTAGTTATTTTACCTTTAATTAATCATCATTTACTTTTCAGTCAAAATTCTATCTAAATAATAAAAAGATTTGAAGATGAGGCATTTCTTCTCCTGTCAGATTACTGAACTTGTACACATTTAAATAGTTAATAGTAAAAGATTTTCTCATTCACTCAACTTCTGTTTAGTGTCCACTATTGAATGAAATAAATAATAGTTAAGTGTATGAATTCTGTAGCTCAACGGACTTTGGTTCAAGCACCAGCTCACCCACTTATTAGATTGTGTGACCTTAAGAAAGTCATTTAATCCCATCAAGCCCCATTCCCTTTACCTGTAAAACTGAGATAATATCTACGTCTCAGGGTTGCTATTGAGCATTAAGTGAGATGCTGCAGGTAACATACTTAGGGTACTACCTGGTACAGAGTAAAGCACTCAAGCAATGACAGCAAATATCATCACTGTATCAAACACTGTGCTACACATGGGGTCAGAGCAGGGTTGTGGGGGGTGGGCAGGTACAGAGACTTGAAGTTTCCATTCTAGTTAGGAAGACAGACATAATGATGATTTTTAAATTGTTTACATTTTTTATTATCAATAAAAAGAGAACATAACACAAATTCAGTTCATAAGGTTACCTTTATCTTGAGCATCAGGAAATATTGTGTTATCCCTAGTGTTGTAGGAAAACGAGATGCTGGCAATTGAATAATTGGACACCTCCTTGGTAAAGTTCACAGTCCAGGAAAAACCAGATCCAAACTGTACCTCTATTTTGGGACCATTCTGGTCATCCCCACAAATGCTTCCATTATATGTCACAGTGCCAAGGTCTGAAATGGTTACAGTTTTCTAAAAGAAAAAGAAGTTTGGGGGTGAGGAACAAAGAGGCAGTAATGAGCACCAAGCACTTATGCAGGGCATGTCACTTCAGTCTAAATCACACGTTCCCCATGGCCAGGCTGTCCTTTGCCTGGTCTGCAGGGTAAACCAGTCTCAGATTCTTCAGCTATACAGCAGCCCTCTGGTACAAATTCATGTGTGTCTAAAAGGAAAAGGAAAACTGGCCTGAACTATTCTGCTGATTTTTTAGGTTGTATAGCAGGAAGGACCTTAAGAAAAAGAAGGCGGCAAAAGGATTAAGAGGAGACCTAAAAAAGATTGTATATAGCAAGCTATTTAAAAAAAAAGGGGGGGGGGCACACTTTGATGTTAGTACATTCTAAACACAGTATAGAAGTAGTCAGACTTGAATACACATAATCTTCAGATTATTTGCCCTTAACCAACTCCAAAAAAACTCCAAAGAACCAATTAGAAAAAATATTTATTCCAACACTAAACAGAATACCTTCAAGTGTATATGTTAAAAAAAAACCCAGAGTTTGTTTAGACAGTTAACATGAAATCTTATTTGCATACATGCATCTAAAGGATAAAAAAGAATCAAAACTAAATCCCTACTATAAAAATTAAAGAAAAATTAAAATATTTACTTACATAAGTTTTGTTGGTAGTTTCATAATGTATTGTGAATTTCATCTGCCATTTTGCATAAAGGCAAGTGGCATTTTCTGAATTTGTCAAATTAAGTTCCAATGCGTAAGACCGGATAGCTCCTGAATTTATTAAAAAAAATAAGATTTTAAAATTATACCACAAAAACACATATAAAATAAAAAAAAAGCTCTATCCACTATTGAAGTTCAACCAGCTCTAAAATGAAAGTATTTTTAATATATATGGTATCCTGGTGATTGTTTTTCTTTGAATTTTTAATGGAATCCTATTGATAAAGTTAGCATTATCCCTTCTCAAAAGAATGGATATGAGACCAGAATGCTTAGGTAATGGCACGGATGCTTGCCTTCTGCCTCCTAATAATCATTTATACATTCATCTGCACCTTGCTAGTTTTGTTTTAGGAAATTATAATCTGCCTGTTACAACTGTTTTGTGAGGTAAATGAGGTAAGGGGAAGCCTAGAAGTGGTGTTAAACTCCTGCTTCTCTCAAACCAGCTGGTGAAACTCTCTCTGCAGAAATAATGATAGATCTGATGTTGTACGGTTTTGTTGCTTTAAATCCAGTTGTAAGCTACATGACCACACAGATGTCTTCCCAAACTATTTTACTCTGATGTGATCAGATGTGGGATAGCTCTTTCTAAGCACGTATATCATGTAACCAAAGAAGCAGAGTTGCAAAGGGCTGTTAAATCCATAAGAAAAGGGTTGATTTTTATAAATGCAAAGTTGATCACTTTGTTTCACTTCAAAATCCAACTGATAAGAAAGTTGATGCATCTTTTGACATGGACTTAAAGGTACTTTCTAAATTCTCAACCTGCTACCTCTTTAGGCAGAGAAATCTTACAAAGGCAGAAAAGCTTTGGGACTTTTCAGCTAACTTGACCTCCAACACTTAAACATAGAAACACTACCTATTAAACTGAAGAGTCCAAGGACTCAAAAATACGCATTCAGCGGGGGGGGAAACATGCCAGCAAACCACCAGCAACATAAATAATGGGCAACTATCTAAGGATTTGCTCCACTGTCTCACACATTACCCACAGATTAAGCTGTTTCCTGTTAAGATAGCTGCATACCCTTTAGTGATATCTGGGCAATCCAGTGTCATCTACAGGTAGGGACATGCTATAAATTGTGGAGAAAAAAGTCCTAAGAGGAATACCAAGAAGGCGTGCCTCAGCAACACCTTTCAAGTTGTACACAAAAGCCTATCGTCATGCTCTAGAGACCTGGCTGTCTCAGCAAGCCCGAATATTATGGTAAAGCTTGTGGTTACAGACAGTGACTAAATGCATTGGTCAAGCCTCAAAAAGACCTTGTGAGGCCTAAGTAGGTTTTATGATCATTCTTTTCCAAGTACAATATGGAATGGAGCTGTCATACTGATCCAAGGCTACTCTGCAGTAGTGCTAAGAACTCCAACTTACATTTTTTTCTAACCAACTGGAGGTTTGCTTTATATAGGCTGTCTCTCTTGGTCTTGTTTAAAGTCTCTAGATTTAGCATATTCTTCTCCTTATATTCAAAGCATTAAAAACTATTAAAAATAACTAAGAAAAGCCTCACATGTATTAATCATTTTCTTTCCAAAGATATTAGAATAACAGGAAGAAAACCACGTAAAATAGCTAATAGGATCAATGTGTCCCAAGGTGGGAGAACTGAAGCTTTATGAAGAAGGCACAGATTGTGGTTCAAATTTATTATAAACAAATTAATTTACCCACAAACACACACACACACACACGCACACACAAAAAAAGAAACCGGGGGGTGTGGGGTGGGGAAGAAGATATAACAACTATACTTTTTTTGTAGTTGTTACAACAAACAAACGGAAAGGACATTCTTGGGGGGGAGGGGAGAGAGGGAGGAGGGCGGGAAGTGTCGGTGGTGGGCCATAATAATCATATACATTGTATATTGACAAAATAAAAAATTAAAAAAAAAAAAAAAAAAAAAAAAAAAAAAAAAAAAAAAAAAAAAAAGAAAAAAAGAAATTCAAGAGTC